ACATGTTATATCTTGTGAAAGGGATAAGGTTAGTTAGAGTTACTTCCCTTACTGTGCCTTCCCAATGTACAGTATCATTATCAGGCAGACTGGGAGTTCTGGACACTAGAGCGTATTTCATCAACGGTCCGTTTAATACTGATGGTTGATTCCATCTGAACGATGCCGATTTTGCTCTGATATCATACACTTGTAAAATGACGTCTGCAACAGGATAACCTTCTTTAGTTCTGAATGTAACTGGTGTGCTTCTAACGGAACCAAACGCGTTAACAGCTTCAATCTGATATGTGTAAGATGTATATGGCAGCAAGCCTGTGTCGTTAAACATTGTTTCTGAAAAAAAAAAAGAAATGGTCATTTGAGACCACAAAGGTGATGTAAATAGTACTGCAGATGTGACAAATGAAAGTCCTACTTTTCTGCTCCAACTGGGCTAATGAAGACGGGAATACGCCATATAGTGAGCAATTAGGCAAATTTTGCCCGGGCAGTGGAACTATGGCCTCTTCTTATATCAAATTCCAACTGCCAAGGGATCTTTTATGTGCACGTCAATGTATACACATGAGGACCTCAGTTTTCCGTCCTCTCTGAACGACTAGACAGCTATCCTTGTCAGCCCCTCTGTCCTGCACCACTGACAAGGGGAAACCACGTCGGAAAATCATGATAAACTAAATAGACATTATGCTACATTACTATGGTGTTAACCTTAGCACTACTTACGTCAGGTACATTTCGCCCATGTGGCCCATGACAACAAAAAGAGTCAAATGTAGTTAGTCATTGTTTTACAATGTACGATGTATGATATGAACAAATAAATATGTTGCAAAAGGCTAAAAATATTATCTTAAATGATATTACATAACAGTTAGCAGATAAATATGTTGCAACATGTATAAATTCTGAAAAATATGCTCGGATAAAAAAAAGACACATTAATTATTTCAATGAAATTCACATCTTACCATTAGAAGAAGTAAATCCTATCTGGACTCCATCACGTATAACATTATACTGACTTATAACACCATTAGGATGATCAGGTGGTCCCCAATACAGACTAATATCCTCGGGACTCTGAGCCAGGTGGGTTGGTGGTGGCTGCTGGGATGGACCTGGACAACACAAATATAATATATCATCAACAAAGCTATCTTACAAATTAAAATCTGCATTTTTTTTTGGAAAATGGCAAATTCTTAACAAATTAATCAACACTAAAAATGCAGCCGAGGGAAATCAGGAATCAGATTATTTCGGCCATATTTGTACTAATATTCCAATCTCATTCAAACACAGACACTATTTGCTTTCTTTTTTTATAGTTCAAAATTTGGTTTACTTGTCTTTAATACACTAGGATCTGGAAGAGTTGTTGTATTACAAGACTTTTGGTTGAAGTGAGGGATTAGCCAATGAAACGGTCTGTTACAGTGAGTTTTTGGCGTGAGGTGCACAGAACTGTGGGTAACCCACTAGGAACATCAATGCTGATTGGTTAATCAAATGTTTGATGTCATAGGGACAAAAGCCGCTTGTTTGACCTCTGATGCGACCTTCTACTACAACTGGTCCGATCTTCATGTAGTAGAGGTCATCGAAAGTATAAAAAACGAAACGAAATATAGATCTGTATTTTCATCAGATTGACAATATTGTAGTTTTCATGGGATTGACAGGGCCTCTAATAACAACCAGAGACAAGAATATGATGTGACTACATATAATATCTGTGCTAGAAATGACTTTATTATTATCATTATTTAAAGTTTAATTGTGTCAATTCAGCGCAATATTAAAATCCCTTGCAAACTACGATATTGTGAAAGGTGAATCTTTAATAGGAATATCACTCCAAAAATGGACTCGTACATAATGCAGGTGGCCATGAGGGGAATTTTGCTCTGGCAGCTGTACTACAATCTATACTTTTATATCGATTTCCAAATGTCAGGGCTGCTTTAACGTCAGCTTTTTATCCCATGCATTTTATCGCTCAACCTATGAAAAGGCTCGCTATGTATTAAGCCCACCTCCATTGTCCGAAAATTGTTATTGGTAGGCTTGTTTTAAATCCAATTGAATCCTATCCGGGACATTATCTAGCTTTGGTATTTTGATTTTTTTTTCTTAATAGAATGTTATAATTAATCAATCTGGGTACATAATTTAGCATGGATCAAGTCCTGTGAAATGTGATATTTCGGCAAAATTGAAAATGGTGCATCGTTACTTTAAGAAATAGAAAAATTTATGTAGTGCTTACTCTTGCTGCATCCATACGGGTTATTAGGATCTAAATTGCTGGCCCCGGGTATACAGGCATCACACTGTCTTCCAGTCACAAATTCTTTACACATACACTGACCACTGATAGGCTGACATGTGTCATTTACGCTTCCTGATGCCAGACAGTTACACGGGTTACACCTGTATAGAAATAGAAGGTTCAAATCTTAAAGATTCTCTTGTTTGGCGTCCCCTGCAAGTTTCCCAGAAAACATTTGTCTGCAATATCAGTCTTAAAGATTCTCCAGCTGCCTTATAAACAAAAACATAAAGCGGCATTATGAGAGATTAGATCAAGAGCTGACAGTTCTCTCTATAATAGTTAACAAATAGATGATGTAAAGAGAGTAAGTTGAACATTTCAGTCAAATGACTTCACTCTGAGCTACCACTGTTACGATAATACACAAAGTCTTGATTATCCATTTTACGGTTAATCATCAACAGCCATTGACCATCAGATCAGATTAAAATCTGCTTAAAATCCGACCCATCAGATGGTATTGAGAGCTGATTATGGTCTTGTTATATTAATAAATGTCTAATTAAAGATACATTATGGGAGATAAGATAAAGAGATGACAGTTCTCGCTATAATAGTTAAAAACTAGATAGTGTAAAGGTAATTTGCTGAAAATTTCAGTCAAATTGATCCACTATGAGCCGAGAAAGAAGCGGGTGAAATTTTGGCATAGTCTCGGTCATCATTACTAAAATCATTATTATAAACAGCTTAGTCTCGATTATCCACTTTTATTGATTTAATTATCAACGGCCGTTAGCGGCATATAGGAATCTAATCCAGCCAACATCGAAGGCTAGCCTTGACATCAAGAGTTTATTATGGTCTGGATAAGTTAATTAATGTCTAATTGATAATTCAGATAATATTTCAGGCCTAAAGAAAGACTTGTAATAAGCAGATTTTGCTCTTGCATAATGCATGTTTAATAATTTATATAACATTTAAGGCCCATAGAAATACATGCAATGGGCAGATTTAGCTCGTGCATAATGCATGTTTAATTCAAAATATTTTAAGAATTTAGACTTTTCAGTAGCGATTAAGAGCTAAAACCTATACTGGGGTTTCAATGCCTAACTTAAAGTCTGTATCTTTAAAACATTTCAACTTAAATTTTTGTGAATAAGCCATTAGGATTTTAGAATTAGACACAAGCGTTTGCCATGCAAGATACACCCACACATTGTAAGAGATGAACAGAGAACAAGCTCAAAAAAAGAAGCGATTTTTCATACAATCCAGGGCCATAATCCATCAAGTTACGGTCCGATATGTGTGAAAACATACAGGAAGAGATCTTCGAGATATAAACATATATTTTAAGTTTCATCATAATCGGGTAAAAATTGTGACCTGTTGACGGGCCATTCATCTGACTAGGGGAAACCACCCTAGAAAATCCTGAGGAACCTTGCAACTTTTTGGTTAGGGATCTGGTGCGTAACACAATGGTTAGATCTATTTGATAAGGCCAACTTCAAGTTTAGTCAAAGGTCACGAGATGTAAACAGTGCTATTGCTAATCCTAACCCAAACCCTGCCCTAATGCTTACCCTAACCTACAATCTCGCCAACAATCATGTGCCCTAACCTTACTTACATCTCAGCGACCTGGACGAAAATTGAGCTGGCCTTAACAAATAGATTTAGCCCTAACTCAATGAAACACTGTGATATCTTGCAAAAAGATTAGGGTACCTCGGTTTTTATCATTACTCTGTATTTTTGATAGTATTCAAAATTACTTACATTTATAAAGTAATAAAGCACACAAAAATATATATCACTTACGATCCAGTATTTTCATCAAATCCATAAAATTTTTCTGCACAGACAGAACAAGCGCGACCTCCGACACCTCTTCCAGTTTGACATTCACACTGTCCTGTTGTTACATTGCATTGAGTACCCTCGAGGGTTCCTTTAACGTGACAGCCGCATGGGTTGCATCCTCCACCAGGTTTATCATCATTATAATAACCTAAAAGATAAAACAGATACTAAATCCCCGGTTGTACGCGACAAGGAGTAGAGTCGCCTGTCCAACCTCGTGGGTTTTCTCCGGGTCCTCTGGTTTCCTCCCACTGCTAAAGACCCCTATGCGCTAGCGAATTATTGAAATAAAATTAAACCATATGTTAGTCCCGAAATGATCTAGTTTGTCGAGTGGACGTTAAACCCCTTTTCTCTCTCTCTCTCACAAACAGATACTAATAAATAATCTCTTAGAACTTATTTGGATCCATTATGGGCAACAACTATTTGAATGGCTTTTCAGATTATATATCAATAACTTCCTTGCCCATATTAATATCTTACACATATTAATTCCTTGCTCTCATTAATTTCTTGTCCATACCTATTCTTTGCCCACATTAATTTTTTTTTCACGTTAATCCCTTGCCCACACTAATTTCTTGCCCATATCAATTCCTTGCCCACATTAAATTCTTGCTCATTATAATCCCTTGCCCACATTAATCCCTTGCCCACATTAATCCCTTGCCCACATTATATTCTTGCCCACATTAAATTCTTGCTCATTATAATCCCTTGCCCACATTTAATTATTGCCCACATCAACTCCTTGAATTACATTAATCTCTTGTCCACATTAATACCTTGCCCAAATTAATTATCATTTTTTTTTTACAGTAAGTGAAAAAACGTTTAAGTATTAATACGAACCTGCAAAGCACATTTCACACTGGCGACCAAATCTATTGGCCAGACATGAACACTGTCCATTTCCGTTGTTACAGGCCAAGGAATCCGGAGGAAGAGAATCACCTTGCTGCGTACCAGTCGGGTCACATTCACATAAATCACAGCCCAACGGGTTTGTTATGTTCAATCCCCATGTATTCCCTTTACAACGATTACACATACGACCAAAAACCCTCTCTTTACAAACACAACTTCCTGAGTCAACATCACACGAATCGGCATTCGCGTCAACGCCTGCTTTATTACAAGTACACACTTCGCAACCAGTTGAGGGTGAGCTGCCGAAACCATACGCACCATCTTTACATGTATCACACTGTCGCTTGCCGACCTGCTGCTTGCAGACACACTGCCCAGAAACAGGTTCGCAGATCGTTCCGGCTTCAATTCCCGCAGCATTACAGTTACACGGGACGCAGCCTAAACTAAAATTAAAAAAGTTCGGACTACACTCATTACACTTCAATCCTACGATATTCTCTTTACATTGACACTGCCCGGAATCAGGATCGCAATAAATGCTTTGTGAACCCTGTGGATCGCAATCACACGGTGTACAACCATCTGGATTGCTAGTCGTTAAATTATAGTAACCATACTCACACGCGTCACACTGTCGATCTGAAAAAAAAAACAAACACAAAAACAAGTAAATGCTTCATTCTTGTACTGTCTTCATTATCATGCTTGGTGCAGAAAAGTTGAACGCTAAACCTAATTTCATTTCATTTCATTCACCTTGAAATAAGGATTTAGAAATGTACGGCACTATTGAAACTGTATCTAGCAATTTTAACCATTTACCGGACATGTATTCAAAACTTTAAATAAAACCCAAGACTCTGACCAATTAATGCTATAAAAATTGTTTGAGACAAGCAAGCATGACATTTGTAATGGCAACACAGTTTGCTTCGGTACCTAGGTATTGGAATTCAATAGCTGTGCGGGCAAAAGTCTCTCATTGGTTCAGAAAAATAGGATGTAAAACCTAATTTCGTTCTTGTAATTGTTGAATCCGGGTCCCAAGTTCACAAAGCTTTCTCAGACTTAAGTTAAAAATTTACTCAACTTTCTCAGACTTAAGTTAAAAATTTACTCAACTTTCTCAGACTTAAGTTAAAAATTTACTCAACTTTCTCAGACTTAAGTTAAAAATTTACTCAACTTTCAATAACTGTTCATGAGAAATCTTTGATCCAGAAACACAAAACTTTACATATAGTTTCTTATTGATGTATTTGATACATTAAAACAACAAAAGTTTTATAAAGGGCTATAGTTTAGTTAAAAAAAAGGCAAACTTTTTTGACTAAATTCTTTACTTAAATCTGAGAATGCTTTGTGAACACTGGGCCAGATCCTTTGTTGGATACAAAAACAAGTTTTAATTAATACCCAGATTGAAGATATAAAGATGACTTACTTCTAACGTTGCGTTTACAATAACACTGTCCCGAGTTGATGTCACATGACACATTGAAATTAACAGTGCCGTTAATGGAGCAATCGCACGTTTCACATCCGACAGGATTAACGGACTGGAGATTATAATAACCATCTTTACAGATATCACACTGTCGACCAGATACCAAATCCTTACACGGACATTGACCTCCAACCTGTTATAATAATAAAAAAAAAGATATTATTCGTAGTTATTTATATATATTAATAATTAATATCTCTGATCGTCATATAGTTCAAACATAAATTAAAATATCTGACCGTTATTAAAGATATTGTTAATCCTTTGCAAACTACAATATTCTGAATGTTGAACAAGAGCAACGGTACCGTTGCAATATACGTCCACATGCTTGGGGGTCGGGGCATGCATCAAAATAAATAATTGCTGTCTTTACGGTATAAGGAATAAATATGCAAGTTCCAAGATGATCCAGTGAGAATTACAGCCTGGAACAATACAAATAGGTACAGCCCTATGATGGATGTTGCCGAATTGGATGCATAAAAATGAATGTGGATGTATAAAAATGTTTTAATTCTACTATGTGTCTACAAATATATCTTGGATTGAATATTTTGCAAAATTTGGAATCCACTGCCACCAGCTACAAGTGGTGATTAAATGTTTTGATGGGCTTCTTTTTAGTCCCATGTGAATTCAAACAAGCAGATCAGGCCCATAGCTGAGGGGGGTGGGGGGCAAGGGCAGCATTCCGACCAATGTCACTCAGCTTTGTGGGGTACCCATACTGATATAGGCTTCGTATTGCGTCCAATGCACCCTCCCACCCCCACCCACCCCTCCTTGCTATGGGCCTGTAGATTATCTACACACTAGCATCATTTCTACACACTAGCATCATTTCTAGCATCATTTCTACACCTTAGCATCATTTCTACACCTTAGCATCATTTCTACACACCAGCATCATTTCTACACACTAGCATCATTTCTACACATTAGCACCATTTCTACACACTAGCGCCATTTCTACACACTAGCATCATCACTAGCATCATTTCTACACACTAAAAACATCATTTCTAGCCAATTCATATATTATTGTGAATCGTACCAAAAATAAAATAGTGAAAATCAGTGTTGAAATAAAAGCATCAAACACAGAAATATTTATCTTTACCTTTTCACATGTTGAGTTGACTTCTGCTATACCGGTTTCGTTACAATTACACGACATGCAGACATCTTTATCATACAGACTTTTACCAACAGGTCTAAAATACATGTCGATACAACTATCGCACATCTGTCCTTCCGTATTATCTTGACACGACACACAGACTCCGCCCCCTCCACGATCATGTTGTCCAGGAAACTGGTCCAAGGTGACATTATAGTAACAACTTGAAGCGTGGTTGTAACATTGACAGAGCTGACAGTTGTAGTCGTTTGTCTGATCACCCAATCGGAATGGTTTGTTGTTATATAATGGCTGACACGTTTCACACTGAAAAATATTTGAACAATAATAATTACGAATTAAAGGGACAGCAAGCCAGATCATTCTCATTCATCTTAATCTTAAAAGTCAAAAATATACTCTATTCTTTTTCGCTTATTACAAAAGATACCAAACACTGCTGCACGTGGGGGAAGGGGGGGGGGGTGGATGGCCGAATGGTTAGCACGTGTGCGCTGTATCATAAGGTCTGTCGATTGAGTCAATTGGTGGGGTTTCGATTCCCTGGTTGTACGTGACAAGGAGTAGGGTCGCCTGTCCAACCTCGTGGGTTTTCTCCGGGTCCTCCGGTTTCCTCCCACTGCTAAAGACCCCTACGCGCAAGCGAATTATTGAAATAAAATTGAACCATGTGTTAGTCCCGAAATGACCTAGTTTGTGTTGAGTGGACATTAAACCTCATTTCTCTCTCTCACTCTCTCTCTCTCTGCTGTATGTCTAATCACCAGAACAAAACTTTAGGACCACATTAAAAATGTGCTCAAATCCCATCACTGGCTGCCCATAAAAGACTATTCAATATAAAATAATCCTCCTCACTTACAAGGAAATGCTGAGCCGTTGAAATCAATTCCTTTTTTGTTGAATATTTTTATATATATATAAATGTATTAGACACCTACCTGATTACCCTCGGTGTTTGACGGTTGTAAACAGTTACATTTGTAGGGTAACGTAGACATATCACACGTTTCAGCATGTCCATGACAATTACAACTATAACATAACATTTATTTATTACAACATTTATTTACAAAAATACATCAATAATACGCAATATTACTAATTCATCCAAAATATTTGCACAATCATTGGGTAATCTAGGACAGTCATTGAGTTATCTAGGACAATCATCAGGTAAATAGCTCAATCATTGGGTAATCTATACACAATCATTGGGTAATTAAGCCCAATCATTGAGTAATCTAGACACAATCACTGAGTAATCTAGCCCAATAATTGAGTAATCTAGACACAATCATTGAGTAACCTAGCACAATCATTGAGTTTTTCTATAACTACTGAATAAAGCTGCATTATCATCTAATTTCATTTTGAATTCTTCAGGCTCTTAAAAATAAATAGTCAATCGGGTCCCATCGACAAAATTTTTGTTTACTATTTTAACTCTCAAAATTTGGAAATAAAATCTTTTAAGAAAACTGAGCAAATAGTTTCTTTTACTTTTCATGAAGAAACAGGAAGCTAACAGAAGAGCAGAAATTCAAATTAGTGTGGCTTTAACATGCAAAATTTCTACTGACAATTTTATGATCATAATTCTAATACAAGAGCAATAAATTGGTGGCAGCCATGTTCATCATTGGAAATACCACATCCTACTCTTCTGCTCCTACTGGGCTAATGAAGACGGGCATACGCCGTACATGGTGCTATGAGGGACATTTTTCCTGGACAGCAGCACTACGGCCTGCTCTTATAACTGCTAAGGGATCTTTTACATAGGACCTTGGTTTTCCATCCCATCTGAACAACTAGACAGAGCTAAGATAAAACTTTCCTATACTTTTCTTACCGAGCACTAACAGCATATTCATAAACTCCATAATATTCATGTCGAAGATTAGTGACAAAGTAATGATCCTGGAATCGGACCCGTATCTTCGCTGCTTTAACAAAATCGTAAAGTTCTGGTGTGTTATAAAAGTCATTGTATCCGGGTCTGGGAACAGGTTCTTGTGGTAAAATATTAAATGTTATATTTCCTCGTGAGTATGGTATCATCAGATTGTTGCTGAATAAATAAACAATAACATGATCCTAAACAATAGTATGTATTATAAACAACAACACGTATCATAAACACATGCCATGTACTATAAACAATGACATTTATTATAAAGAGAGAGAGAGAAATGGGGTTTAACATCCACTCGACACGGACTAGGTAATTTCAGGACTAACATATGGTTCAATTTTATTTCAATAATTCCCTTGTGCATAGGGGTCTTTAGCAGTGAAATAACTCTGCTTATTATGATATAACCCTCCTTATTATGACATAACTCTCCTTCTTATGATATAACTCTCATTATAATATAACTGTCCATATTATGATATTATTCTCCTTATTATGACATTACTCTCCTTATTATGACATAACTCTCCTTATTATGACATTCTCCTTATTATGACATAACTCTCCTTCTTATGATATAACTCTCTTTATTATGATATTATTCTCCTTATTATGACATTACTCTCCTTATTATGACATAACTCTCCTTATTATGACATAACTCTCCTTATTATGATATAACTCTCTTTATTATGACATAACTCTCCTTATTATGATATAACTCTCTTTATTATGATATTATTCTCCTTATTATGACATAACTCTCCTTATTATGACATAACTCTCCTTATTATGATATAACTCTCTTTATTATGATATTATTCTCCTTATTATGATATAACTCTCTTTATTATGATATTATTCTCCTTATTATGACATTACTTTCCTTATTATGACATAACTCTCCTTATTATGACATAACTCTCCTTATTATGATATAACTGTCCTTATTATGATAGTATTCTCCTTATTATGATATAACTCTCTTTATTATGATATTATTCTCCTTATTATGACATTACTCTCCTTATTATGACATAACTCTCCTTATTATGACATTACTCTCCTTATTATGACATAACTCTCCTTATTTACCACATCCCTCACCCTATCCAAACTGGGAAAGCTTTTTTAGGAGAACGATTTTTGACTTTTGCAAATTAAGGAGAGCACTTTTCAGCCCACCAGCTAAATATATAAAACAATGACTGAATTAACCATGAATACATACGTGCCAAATTGTAGACAGTTTATAGAAGTTGATGTCGGAAGCAGTCCATTATTATCCTGATTGAAATAACTTGTACAATTCTCTGCGTAATATTGCCAAACTTCCCACACGTCAGAATTATTTCTCTGTCTTTCCACAGTAACGGCTTTCGGCAGCGGACTATAAAACTGTATCACCACATAAAACACCTGAAAAAATTAATTCATTTAACATAAAAATGGTTTTATGCATGGTTGAGTCAAGTAGTATGGTTTGATCTATATTTTGATTCGGTTTTTTATACCTTCGATGGTCTACATTACATGAAGATCTGACTGATTGTTCTGGAAGGTTGTGTCAGGGGGCGTACGAGTGGCTTTTGACCCTATAACGTCAGACAATGATTAATCAATCAGCGTTGACTTTTCTAGTAAATGCCCACAGTTCCTACATCAAACTCGAAGAACTCGCGTAACAGACTGTTTCATTGGCTAATCCCTCACTTCAACCAGAACTCCGGTAATATAACAACTCTTCCAGATTCTAGTATAGTAAAGACAAGTAAAACGAAATTTTGAACCATAAAAAACAAAACAAAATAGGATCTGTGTTTTAATCAGATTGTTTTACAAATAGCCTATTTTGACATTTTTATTCATATATCGTAAACAATGACTTGCGACCTCTAACTCATTTTAATGTCACTGGTCTCACGTTATTTTAATATCTACCTGAAATTCGTCTCCTAAATCAACAATTAAATCTACTTGTGACTGGAACTTTGAGATCCAGATCGTGTTACTATCTCCATCGTTTGTATACTCTAATGGATGTGCCTCCTGGTTAACTCGTAGAATCTCGTCTCCTGCGTTATCTGGTACTCCGTTAGGTATACAGTAATGCGTCTGCCCAGGTTTAACTCGGGGATGAGAAGGAGGACATCGACAATGAGATTGAATTCTAACTTCAGGAAATACACCAGTATAAAGTTGGGCTATTTCTCTGAAAGAAATCAAACATTCGAAAGTTTCAGTGAATAACTATTATATAATACTAGAATATTTGGTATGGCTAGACACTATTCACAACAAAAACATAACACATGATATATATGGATATAATTAATTCTCTGTTATTTAATAACACATGACATATATGGATATAACTATTTCTCTGTTATTCAATAACAATAGGTATATATAGATATAACTTTTTCTCTGTTATTTAATAACAGCTGGTATATATATGGATATAACTATTTCTCTGTTATTTAATAACAGCTGGTATATGGATATAACTATTTCTCTGTTATTTAATAACATATAACTACTTTTCTGTTATTTAATAACATAATAGTACATATGGATATAACTACTTCTCTGTTATTTAATAACTCATGGTATATATGGATATAACTACTTCTCTGTTATTTAATAACTCATGGTATATATGGATATAACTACTTCTCTGTTATTTAGTAACATTTCAGAAAACATACAGGTCACAATTTCAAGTAATATTGACAATTTACATTATGTCAGTCCAAAATATATGTTGGAAGTTAATGTATTTTAGGCCTTACACTGTATATTTTATATACCTACCTATTTGTAAGTAGTTCAGAATAAAGATGGAAATCTTGAAGTCGTCCTTTAAATGGCGACAGACCTGTAAAACGTGGAATAAACATGGAATAAACATGGAATAAATATGAAATAACTAGAAATCCAATCAGTTCCACTTTTCTACACCAGCTATTAGCTAGGCTAATGAAGACAGATATATGCAGTGTGTTATGAGGACAAATTTACACTGACATTAGCACTACGGCCTACTCTTTATTTTTGTTTTACAACTGTCAAGAGATCTTGATCGATCTGATATATACATGACTAAACACTGTTCCTTGCCTGGCCCTTGGTCCTGTACCACTGGGACTACTTACAGATATACAGGCTGTACATTTAAAGCTCAGGTATCCAGGGCCGTAACTAGCTCAGAGCAACGAGGGGAGCGCGAAGTTTTCCTAGGGGTGCTGTAAAATTGACGGACAATGTATATCTATTTTTTTATGGTCGAAAATGTTTTCACGGGTGGGGGGGGGGGGACTTTTTGCAGGGGAGGCTTTGCTTCCTCTGCTGCCCCCTCCCCCTTAGTTACGGGCCTGCAGGTATCATGTTTTAGGAATTTCTGTATTTAATGCTTAGTTTCAAACCATTGATGGAAAACTGAACAAATCTGTTGAGAATCATAGAAAACTATTGGGTTTCTACTGTCTAGATTAGATAATGAGTGTTGGGTTTATAACTGTTTAGTTTTTCAAAAAGCCTGACAAGGACAGTTGTCTAGTCGTTTGGATGGGACAGAAAACCGAGGTCCCGTGTACACATTGGCGTGAACGTAAAAGATCCCTTGGCAGTTGGAATTCGATATAAGAGTAGGCCGTAGTGCCGCTGCCCGGTCAAAATTTCCCTCATTACACACTGTATGGCATATGTCCGTCTTCATTAGCCCAGGTTAGGAGCAGAACAGTAGGACGTTAAACCCCATTTCATTTCATTTTTCAAAAGGTGTTGAGTAATTAACAGACTAATTAATTACTCAACACTGCTCCGGAACCACACAACAGTAGAAACCCAATAGTTTGAAACTAAACAGCCCAACTACATGATACCTGAGTTGTAGTGTACAAAGCTCTTTGTCAACGTCTCTGCACTAGAACCCAAACTGTGTGAACCCTCGAAAATAAAAATCGCTTTATTGTGTCACACTTGATGGAAAATACAAGTATATAGGTTGAATTTTTTCAAGAGAGAACATAAATTACACAATGAATTTTATTTCATAGTAGGTGATGTCAAATATACTATTCAAAAAAAGTAGGGGATATTTGATTTTGGGGGCATAATACTAAAATATGGAAATGACTACGAAAAAAGTCACTATAGAACCTAACAGAAGAAACATTTCCAGTTACATGTGACGCCCAAACGCACCAATAGCTACCGCATGGAATGCAGGTGATGCTTGGGATCATCATGGGGGTCCAACCCAAGATTTGCACGACTCTGACTTTGAATGTTACAGTCATTGTGGCATTGAATTCCAGGGTGGAAACATCAGTTTAATTGTTTTAGTGACCAGAAAATAAATTTTGATATGCGTCGGCTTACCCAAAATGAAAGGTTACGTGCCCTTGGCATGCTACAGATCGGCACAACACAGGCGGTTGTGGCGCGGACGATGAATGTTTCTCAGTCTGTCATAAGCAGGCTATGGTCCAGATACCGTGATACACAATCTGTACAGGACAGACCACGCTCAGGTCGACCAAGGGCGACAACTCAAGCCCAGGATCGATTTATCCGTACCTTGGCCTTGAGAAATCGTGTCATCACAGCAAATCAGATCAACGCTCGTCTTCAAACAGACACTGGTGTGAGAGTGAGTGGCCAGACGATTCGGAATCGACTGCATAGGGGTCACCTTCGCGCCCGACGTCCTCGCGTGATCCCTTGTTTGAGAGATCATCACATTCAGGCAAGATGTCGTTGGTGTAGGGATCGTCAACACTGGGATAATCGACGCTGGAGCAATGTGATGTTTTCAGATGAGTCAAGGTTCACTGTTGATTTTTTGGACAGACGTAGGAGGGTGTGGCGTCGTCGAAACGAGCGCTTCCAAGACGTTAACGTCATCAGACATGATCGATTTGGGGGTGGTTCTGTTATGGTGTGGGGAGGCATCACTGTTGCTGGAAGAACGGCTTTACATGTTGTTGCAGGGCGTGTTACAGGCCAGTACTACCGGGACAACATCTTGGCAGTCCATGTTGTGCCGTTCGCACGACGTCATGGCCGCCGTTTCATCTTCTAGGATGACAACGCAAGATGTCACAGGGCCAGGATCGTTACAGGTTACCTCCAACAACAGAACATCACCACATTACCTTGGCCAGCACTGAGTCCCGACCTCTCCCCCATCGAGCATGTCTGGGACATGCTTGGACAGAGGTTACGTCAACGTCAACAACGTCCTGCCAATGTCCAAGAACTTGCTACTGCGTTGCAACAGGAATGGGACAATCTGGACCAAAATGACCTTAGACGTCTCATTAGGAGTATGCCACGTCGGATCAATGCTTGTTTGGCAAACAGAGGAGGATTTACCCGTTACTGACTTGGTTGTGATGCTGTGGTAACTTTGCTGTTTGACCCCGGGTATCATTTTACCCTTATAATGGTCAGTATGTGCCTTACTTAGTCTAACGATCATTTGGAATAAATCGATGAATGTGAACTTCATTTCATTTTGTCATTTGTTTCTTCGTCAGTTTCATTAGGTGACTTTAATAACACTTAAAAATCAAATATCCCCTACTTTTTTTGAATAGTATATAAAGGTAAGTGCTTTGTTATTAGAAACAAAAATGTGATTTTATTTTTGAAGAGAGAGAGAGAAATGGGGGTCTAACGTCCACTCGACCGTTGATGTCAAACATGTAGCTAAGTGGTTTGTTATTAGAAACTAAAATGTCCACTCAACACCAACTATGTCATTTTGGGACTGACATTTTCAATTTTATTTCTATAATTTGCTTGCACATAGGGGTCTTTAATTAGCAGTGGGAGGAAACCTGAGGTGCTGGAGAAAACCCATAAGCTTAGAGAGAGAGAGAGAGAGAGAGAGAGAGAGAGAGAGAGAGAAATGGGGTTTAACAGCCACTCGACACAAACTAGGTAATTTTGGGACTAACACATGGTTCAATTTTATTTCAATAATTCGCTTGCGTGTACCACAAGCTTAGGCACCTACTCCTTGTCATGTACAAGCAGAGAATCAAAACCACGCCCTTCTGATCCAACCCGCACAAGTTAACCATTCGGCCACCAAACCCCCCTCTGTAGTTAAATGAAATGAATGGGGTTTAACGTCCTACTGTTCTGCTCCTAAACTGGGCTAATGAAGACGGGCATACGCCATACAGTGTGCTATGAGTGAAATTTTGCCAGGGCAGCGGCGCTAAGGCCTACTCTTATATTGAATTCCAACTGCCAGGGGATCTTTTACGTGCATGCCAATGTATACATGGGACCTCATTTTTTGTCCCATCCGAAAGACTAGAAGCTGTTCTTGTCATGCCCGCCTTCCTGCACCACTGACAAGGGGAAACCACTGTGATCAAGTAAAATTTGAGGATGAGATGTAAGTGTAAAATAGCCTAGACATACCTTCGCTGTTTTGACCTAGTCTATAACTTCCAGTAGAATCTTGTATGACACTACCCAGTGTTGCTTTCTGGACATCCGACAAACCAACTCGAGGTCCGTTTATAAAAAAACTTATGGCTGTTTGATAAACCTGAAAATAAAAAACAACACAAATTGTTAGCTCCTCCAACTGAAATGAAATGGGGTTTAACATCCTGCCTTTCTGGACCAACTGTGCTAATGATGACAGGCACATGTCTTAATTGTAGTGTGATATAAGGGAAGTTATATGCCTAAACAGAGAGATCACCATCTACCTACACCTTAACACAGGTATCATTTAATCTTGTGTATCTAGCACAAATTTCTTTCACATTCGTTTAATATCAAATATTTGTTTAAAAATTCGTAAAAATCGTTTAAAATCACTATCAATCATCTAATTTGTGTCCAGTTTGAAGCTGACTGATTAATTTGGATAATGAGTGTCCAATTTACAAGTATTTAATTTTCTGACCACTGTTCAAAAATTAATCATTATACATCATTAATCAATTGTGTAATTTATTTTTTAACAGTGATTGAGAAATTAAACACTTGTAAATTGGACACTCTTTATCAAAATTGAATGGTCAGCTTTAAACTGGACACAAGTACAAATTAAATGATTTATGAGGATTTTAAAGAGTTCTTTCAAAGTTTTAAACAAAGATTGGATATTAAACGAATCTGAAAGAAATAGTGCTAGATACACAAGATTAAATGATATCTGGGTTACAGTGCTACCATTATATCAAAGTGTCAAGAATTCTTTTACATGCACCTCAATGTGTACACCATTTCACACAAAGACTAATGCTAGGTTCCCACTATCACGATTCACAGTTGAAATTGTGGTTTTAATCGTGGAGTAAATATGGTGATCCTATCATGTCTTATCATAGATTGAGGTCAGTCATAGCAATCATGTTGATCGTATCTAAACATATACGAACGTATCTGCACGTACCAGATCATGGACTCAATAGGGACAATCCATCGTAAACAATCGCATAACAGTGGGAACCTACCATTAATAAACTTTTTAAATTTTAATAAATGGAAGCATAAATACTTTTAAAAATTCTCGAAGTATACTTCGTGTTTTCAACTAAAATCGTTGATTTAAGACTCAAAATGTCGGTCAACTAGCTTAGTGTCTGTTCTCAAATGGAGCTAACTGTAGACAGACAACCTATGTTTGGTATGCATGTACATGGGACCCCAGTCTTTATTCCCATTTACCCGGTAGTAATTTAGAGTACATATATTTTGACTCTGTACATATATTTTGACTCTGCATTCACAAATAAAGTAAATTTTCACTTGATCTGTGGAGTCCGTCCAGTATGTGCGCTGACCCCTGGAATGCACTCCCTAAAGCCCATGATAATGCCTCTTTAATATTTTAACATCAATTTTTAATATTGATGTAAGCGCTCCTTTATTATCATAAAATCGTGTAAATTTGACAATAAAAGTGAGCCCATTATTTGTAACGGTCTATTGCTGCTATACTGGGTGACGATGCAGAAAGATTGTATCATAAAAAAAAATCTTTTGTAAATGTAAATACAAATTCTACTATTTTGTTTTTGATATTATAGATGTATTAATAGTGAGTGAAGAAGCCACAGTGGCTAAGTGGGTAAGACGCTGGCTTGCTTGCCAGGAGGTCGTGTGTTGTATACATGCATTGGGCAAGAAAGCCCATCGGGATTTTCCAATGTGGTCTCCCCTGACAAGGACAGCTGTCTAGTCATTTGGATGGGATAAAAAACTAAGGGCCCATGTATACATTGGCATGCACATAAAGATCCCTTGGACGTTGGAATTCGATATAAGATTAGGTCATATTTCCGCTGTCCAGAAAAAAATTCTCTCATAGCACACTGTATGGCGTATGCCCGTCTTCATTAACCCAGACGGAGTAGAACAGTAGGACGTTAAACCCTGTTGCATTTCAACAGTGAGTGAATTACAGATTCCTTTCACTTTATCTACAAATCACCTCTTAGTCGTTCAGACGGGATGAGGAACTGAGATTCTGTGTACACATTGGCATGAACGTAAAATAACCAAACAGTTGGATTTCAAAGTAAGAGTAGGCTTTAGTGTTGCTTTCCAGCAAAAAAATATCACTTGTATATATATCTAACAGTCTATTCTTATTCTACTGGGTGGCGATGCAGAAAGAATATACAATAAAAAAAAATCTTTTGTAAATGTTCATGTACCGGTAAATAGCCTAATGAAATTAAACCCTTTCGGTGCATTGAACTAAATGGTGTTTTATTTCATAGTGATTTAAGGAGAGACAGAGAGAGGGTTTAACTACACTCGTACAGTCCGTACACTCGGCACAAACTAGGTCATTTCGGGACTAACACAAGGTTCAATTTTATTTCAATAATTTGCTTGCGCGTAGGGGTCTTTAGCAGTAGAAGGAAACCAGAGGACCCAGAGAAAACCCACAAGGTTGGACAGGCGACTCTACTCCTTGTCACATACTACCGTGGAATTGAAACCCCGCCAGTTGACTCAATGACAGACCTTACTATACAACTAACCATTCGGCCATCCACCCCCCACATAGTGAGTGAAACACAGTTTTCTTTCACTTTACTAGCAAATCATCTTCTAGTTGATCAGATGGGATGAAAAACCAAGGTCCCATGTACATGTTGGCATGGACTAAAATAACATGACAATTAGAATTCAAAATAAGAGTAGGCTGTAGAGTCGCTGTCTGGGCAAAATGTGCCTCATAGCAGACTGTATCGTGTTTGCCTGTCTTCATTGCCCCGGTTGGTGCAAAAATGTAGGGGGCTAAAACCCAATTTCATTTTGTGTCTTGTTTTTTTATTATTCTTTGGCAGTTTGATGTTTATGTTAACATGTGAAATGGTGGAGAGGAGAATTTTGCCTGAATAGTGCTGTCTCCATCCACTGTTCATCAATTTCCGACTGTCAAGTGTTCTTTTAGCACACACAATGAATGAAGAGTATGCCTTGACTTGACTTGATGTCAGGTTTAATGTCCGCTTCCACCAAAGGTGTTATTGCATAATTGTCCCTTTAAGATTCCAGAGGATACTACACCCACTAACATTGTCCCTTTAAGATCCAAGAGCACACTGCTTCCGGTAACATTGTCCCTTTAAATCCAAAAACACCAAGTGTAATGACCTTCATCTGATAATTACATATATATATATATAATATATATACAATAATCACCAGTAATATTTGACCTTATGCCAAACTCGATTATCAGCATTTTCACACAGAGACCATCTTTGTTTTATTAAGCTCAAGGAATTTATACATGTGTCTTTGTTTTATCAAGCTTAATTCCAAATTATTCTTAAAATGGATATCGTTTTTCGAGGTGACGTAAGTATTCTAAATTGACTAAATAATTTTATATGGTTATGAGATCACATAATTTTATATGGTTTGAGATCATACAACTTTATATGGTTTTGAGATCACATAATTCTATATGGTTTTGAGATCACATAATTAATTGCTAGAATAATTTACCATTGTATATTAATGATAGCCCAATATATTTTAGAGAAATCTTTTGTGGATGGAATTGAATATAATATATAGCAGACTCCCTATAAGGTCTCCCTATAATGTCTCCCTATGAGATCTGGCTTCCAAGTACAGGATTATAGCAAGTTCCTTATACAAGACTGATGTAGGAGACATCGTATAATTAAATTGTTGGCCGACAGATGGCCAATTGTCCAAAGTGTGGGCTTTAGATCATAAGGTCTGTCAGTGAGTGGCATGGTTTTGATTCCAGGCTTGTACCTGAGAAGGAGTAGAGTCATCTGCCCAACCTCATGGGTTTTCTCCAGGTTCTCCGGTTTACTAGCTCCCACTGCTAAAAGAACCTTGGGCAAGCGAATTATTGAAATAAAATAGAACCATGTGTTAGTCGCAAAATGATCTAGTTTGTGTCGAGTAGGCGTTCAACCCTATTTCTCTCTTTCTAATAGTTAAATTCTACAGGATCTTTTCAAATCGACAATTCCCCTGGGAAAATACGGGCCAAGTAACACTATTCTTAATCACTTAACAAATAAAGATTGTGAAATTTTATTCTATTTACAAATAGATTAAAAACGGTAAGTAAGTCAATAAATAAAAAGTATGACTCTTCAATGGCTGACTAATCCATCGAAAATATGACTCCTTGCATCTTAAACAAACAAATGATGATTCATTAATTCCTTTAAATAAATTGAGATAAGCCAACCAGTTTGTATGGGAGTCTCTCTAGTTCAATGAACAGCCGTGTTTCTATTAAAAGGCAGACAGTATAATCCCTCTATAATCTGTACATAAAGGGAGTCATTCTAGATATATTTATCGGGTATATGAATACAACTGGTTTAATAGTGTGTGAAAAACTCTCAGAAACATTTAAATCATACTAGTTCTGGTTTGGAGAAACTAAGAAACTTTTATCCTAGTATGGTGCAACTAAGAAATCTCTATCTAATAGCCCGTTCAGACGCTTAAGTTGAAATAGTTTAAAAAACCCTTGGGATCGTTAAACCAGTTTAACTTTGTCATCTGAATGCAAATGTCGGGCAAATAAACCAGTTTAAAAACTCCAGCTCGCGACCTGTCTTCGAGAAGGCTTTTTATTTTAAACTGGTTCATCTTGGCCGTCTAAATGAGTTGGCTTAAAAACCTGGCTCCAGCTTGCCTTGAGCATGCGCAGTACGCAGTAAGTTTCATTCTTGTGAAAATATCAGGGTCAGACAGTGCCAATGTTATCGAAAGCGTGTGAGAACCGAATAAAGAATATAAAGCTACCCATGCGTAATTAACTCTAACCTCCGATAGAAGAAGTCAGAATAGTTAAACTGGCTTGGCTTATAGTACGTGTGAACGCAACACGATGCTGTCTTAAAAACCCTGGCGATTTTGAACTGGTTTAAAAATAAGCGTCTGAACGGTATACTAGCCTGGTGCAACTTAAAAACATTTATACTATACTATTCAAAAAAAGTAGGGGATATTTGATTTTGGGGGCATAATACTAAAATATGCAAATGACTACGAAAAAAGTCACTATAGAACCTAACA